AGGCGAGAGTGCGATTTGCCGGCTGCCCGCGCAACCCTCTGCGGAGACCGTGCGTGTCGAGTGCGCGAAATGCAGGCGAGAGCGCGATTTGTGAAATCACCGCGCGACCCTCTGCGGAGATCGTGCGTGTCGAGCGCGCGAAACGCAGGCGAGAGTGCGATTCGAGCGGAGCAAGCTGTGGAGCTGGAAGCTGAGAACTGGCGACTTTGTAGTACAACTTTAGTACGCGGAGGAGCTGGGGAGCTGGAAGCTGAGAACTGGCGGCGTGGTAGTACGACTGTAGTACGCGGAGTAGCTGGGGAGTGGGAAGATGAGAACTGGCGACTTGGTAGTACAACTTTAGTATGCAGAGTAGCTGGGGAGCTGGAAGCTGAGAAGTGGCGACGTGGTAGTACGACTGTAGTACGCGGAGTAGCTGGGGAGCGGGAAGATGAGAACTGGCGAGTGGGTAGTACAACTTGAGGGCGCGGAGTATCTGGGGAGCTGGAAGATGAGCACTGGCGACTTTGTAGTACAACTGTAGTACGCGGAGTAGCTGGGGAGCTGGAAGATGAGAACTGGCGACTTTGTAGTACAACTTCAGTACGCGGAGTGATCTGTGGAGCTGGAAGATGAGAACTGGCGACTTTGTAGTACAACTTTAGTACGCGGAGTATCTGGGGAGCTGGAAGATGAGAACTGGCGACTTTGTAGCACAACTTTAGTACGCGGAGTAGCTGGGGAGTGGGAAGATGAGAACTGGCGACTTGGTAGTACAACTTTAGTACGCGGAGTATCTGGAGAGCTGGAAGATGAGAACTGGCGACTTTGTAGTGCAACTTTAGTACGCGGAGTATCTGGGGAGCTGGAAGATGAGATCTGTGGAGCTGGAAGATGAGAACTGGCGACTTTGTAGTACAACTTTAGTACGCGGCGCAATCTGTGGCGGAGCTGGAAGCCGAGAACTGGCGACATTGTAGTACAACTTTAGTACGCGGAGTATCTGCGGAGCTGGAAGATGAGAACTGGCGACTTTGTAGTACAACTTTAGTACGCGGAGCAATCTGTGGAGCTGGAAGCTGAGAACTGGCGACTTTGCAGTACAACTTTAGTACGCGGATGAGTCATCTCTCGCGGCTGAGTCATCTCTCGCAGCTGCTCTGGCGCCCCTGCAGCCGAGTCATGTCTCCCGACCACCCGGCTCTCTTGAGAGGTTGACACACTTGAGATATTGTGTACTGAACTGAATGCGGTGCCACACGCCGGCCTAGGGTTCCATTTCCTAAGAGTACCCAGTAGGAAGCCATCGAATCCTGGGGGTCTTCAAAAGGAAAGGTGGCCCAAAGCGCAAGATCGAGGTCGACGAGCAGGTCGAAGTGACGACGTGTCGTGCATGTCTGCAGTTTGAGGTTCTGGGCTTAGCCTCATGCCATCCGGAAAAGGAAAAAGGCAGGTACGTCGGTGAGCGTCCCCACCGATATCAGTGTTCAATGCAAGCCTCTTCGTTGGGCTGGTACTTGCATGAACAACCAGCCCCCCTGCGAGAAACCAAATTAAAATCCAAAAGGATCCCTATGACTCCAAGGGTTACACACACACGCCTCCCCGAAGGGAGGCAAGATTTTTTAAGCTCCGCGCCAAAGGTGAGGTGAGACTACGAGAAATGACGGATCTCACGGTAGGTCTGATAGGCAGTCAATGGGAGTCGGAGTTGACCAATGGCATCGTCATGAAGACGAGGAGCGACTGTATGAAGAGGCCGGTAGGGAAAAGGAACGGATTCGCGAGGGTATTCTGTGGAGAGGCCCTGTGGACGTACCCGTCGTGAATTGATAAAGTAAAGGACGAGGTCTTCAAGGGTGTAGGTGTGTGGGACTTCCCATACTCGTGAATCCCCAGTCGAAGGAAGGGCCATCCAGAAGGCCGTGCGATGTTGGCCTAGGCGGGAGTAGATAACATCTTTGAGATCGTCAACGGTGTACTCCTTGGTGTCAAGCTGTTGCCTGTCTAAGGTCACTGTGATGTAGTTCAGGGGTTGGTAGACAAGCAAACTGACGTCCAATTCAAAGCGGACGGTAGAGAGGTCAGGTACCATGTCTAATGTTTCGAATGGTTGACGAACTTCTCTCCAAGAAGTACGAGATGTAGGAGTCGTGCGTGTCAAAGGTTCAGGGACACGAAGACCCGGGGATGAGATCATCAAGCAGGATAGGGAAAGAAGCAACAGTGCGTGAGGCAGAAGAAGGGGTCGGAGCCAATGGCTGCGGGAAAGAACAGCTAAGAGTGTAGCAAGAGCATCCACCGAGAACGGAAGAAGCAAAATAAACTTCCAAGCGAGAGAGAGAGGTGAGGATCTTTTCACGGTAAGGCGAAATAGGTCATGAGCGCAAGGAAGTGATAAAGGCCTCAAGCTGTTGTCAATCACGAGGACGATCCAAAGGAAAGGGAGGCTCTAAAGTATTCTGAGATTCAGTCGATGTGGAGTTCAATGACATAGATCCTGAATCAGGTAAAGGAAGTGGAAGTCCAGTGCCATCGCTGATAGGATCAGTGGGAGGAAAGTAGTCCGGAGGGGCCGAAGAGGACGCAGTGGAATGGCCGGGTGGATCGTCTGGTCGGTAGGATTGATGAAGCTCATCGCGGTATGTAGTGAGGGTGTGGACGACCCCAGTGATCAGCTGTTCTTGTTGTGGGGCGGGTAGGCCCTGGAGCATAGGGACCTTGGAAACGTCAAGCTCGGCGAAATTGCGCAAGAGAGCTTCAATTTGGTATTGAACGTTGAGATG